GAGGAGGAGGAGGAGGAGGAGGGGGAGTGGGAGAGCGAGAGGAGGCGGAGGAGGAGGAAGAGGAGGAGGAGGAGGAGTGAGAGAGGGAGAGCAAGAGGAGGAGGAGGAGGAGGAGGAGGAGGAGGAGGAGGAGGAGGAGCACGAGAGCAGGAAGAGGGAAGGAGGACAACCATTAAAAAAAAAAAAAAAGAAGGAATGAACTTCGACAAAATCAAGAAGCTAGGGAAAAGAACAAAATCATTTCATAGGAATTAAGTGGGTTTACTTTTTTTAACAAGCAGTAAGCCCAGAATAACAAATCGAAAATAAATTTCCTTCCCCGTCCTGAGCTGTCCTCAGCACCAAGAAAACTGCCAAGCGGAAACCAGTTGGAAATAAAACCAATGAATAACAGTTACTAACTACAAAAAATTTCAAAAAAAAAAAAAAAAGAAATAATAACTAAGTTACTAACTACAACTACAGATAAATGAATATGTAAACACCTGCATAAATCCGTTAATCAGATAAATCGTAACGAACCCAACGTACCCCGTAGTAATACTATAATGAGTTAATGACAATAAAAAAGGCCTGAAAGGCCATCCTTTCCGGATTCGACAGGTAATTGAATTGGTTGAGCTAAAAACCCTTCAGTCACATATGAACTCATGGGACTGAAATCAATCCTAACCATACCGAAATTGTCATGAGGCTCAAATAAAAAATAACTACATGAAAAATTTGAGCTTTTATAGCTGTACTTGGTACGGTTTAGTCTAGATACACTGATAATGCCCGGGCGTTCTATTCGGGTGAAGATGGTAGCAACCAAACACAAGAGTATGTGAAGAAGAACAGCGTGAGCATGGAAATATCTTATAAATTCAAAATTGAAAAATGAAATTAAGCAATGTCATTGAGCTCAATGTTCAAGTTCCATCTCCTTTTCGTCCTCCTCGGCACAATGACTTCTCTCTCGCCACCTCAATGAATCCTCTATCTATTGGCTATGGATTCCTCTCCCAACTCCTTCACTGATAAACCAGGCCCAATGTCACTCTCCAAGTCAATCTCTCTCGACTCTCGAGGGCCAGCCTAACCAAGGCTACTGGTTTAGTAATGCTAGAACTTAAAATGACATCGTCCATCTTCTATAGAATATAAACAACATGGACTCTCGTTCTCCAATCATGACTACATAAATGGCCAACCTGAAGCTATGGTCGTGACCCTCCCTCTCATCCCTCGACCTCGCCGACGCCAGTGCCTCTCTCTCTCTCTCTCTCTCTCTCTCTCTCTCTCTCTCTCTCTCTCTCTCTCTCTCTCTCTCTCTCTCTCTCTCTCTCTCTGTGTCTCTG